GCTTAACCAACTGAGCCACCCAGGTGCCCCAAGGTTGCTCAAGTTTTCTTGGTCAACTGAGTAGCCCTGCCTCACTCACCTTTGGTACTAGCCCAACAAGCCGCAAATCCAGAACACAGCTGGTAGTGAGCGAGAACCTGCTTGGGGACACAAATAAATGGGGGCCCTTAGGAGCTTCATCCCATTGTTAGAGGTTGCCAGTTTAACTGACTCAGAGTTGGGATGATTTGGAAAATCCTAAGGTCAATTTCAGACTTTAATCCCATCTAAAAAAAAAAAAATCAATGATTGTTGGTAGGATGCTGTTGGTTATATATTTTTTTCTATTTTAAGATTATTTATTTAGCCATTTACATGATTTATGATTTTATGTCCAATAACAGTGGCTATATCCAGAAAAACAGCCTGGCTTCATAGGTCCTTGCATTCTTGTTAAGGGAAATAACGGCTTCCTACAGTTTATAAACTTCTACTCATTATTTTATTTCTGCAAGCTACCATTTCAGGCATCTCCTGCAACAACAATCACATTCTCAAAAAAACAAAACAATCCATGAGCAGGAAATATAACTTACAAATAATATTACTGGATTAAGTTATAAAAAACTAGTAAGAGGTCTCAAAAATACCATATAAAAGTAAAACGTGTCACAATATTACATTGTTAAATAGAACCAAGAAAGTCGAGATCCAGGCACCCTACTAAAATTCACACAAAACAAATTGTGTATATGCATTCAAAGAAATTAAAAGTTAACAGATCTAAAAGACAAAATGTACATATTACTCAAGGTTAGACCACCACTAATTTTAGTTTGCAATCTTAAGTTAGAATGAAAATAAAAAATGACGCAAAAATAAAGACTGAATGACAACTACATATGTGAAGTGCTGAAACAGGTAGTGGTTGGTAGAACATGGGATCTACCTCCAAAGGATTTACAGTCCAAAATGAAAAAACATACTGATCATTGGGTATAAACCCACCACTTAAAGACATAGCCTATAAAAAATAAATTATCTTCATACCCAATGTAAACGAATAAAGTAAAAGCACTATAGCCAACAAGCAGTAGCACCTCTTACTTCAGAGCAAATAAAAATACAAATGTGGATTTCATGGGACAATCATAGTTCAGACATTTCAATTCATCCTTAATAGGAGCTTTCTAGCTATAAGCACTTTAAGAGTCCAAGTCTTTCCTCAAACCCCTGCCCCACAAAGACGTGTGTAATAGCTATTCCTCACACTGCCTAGATTGGCACGGTCCAATAGAAATATAATGCAAGCCACATATGTCATTTTAAGTTTTCCTATTAGCTACTAAAAAATAATATTAATCTTAATATTTTATTTAACATATTCAAAATAGTATCAGGTCAATATGTAATCAATTGATATTTTACATTTTTTTCTTACTGTTTGAAATCCAGTGTGTATTTTATACTAACATCTCATTTCAAACTAGCCACATTTCAGTGGCTCGACACTCACCTGTGACTAGTGGCTACTATATTGGACAGCCCAGGTCCAGATATAGTCACTGACTTAAAAATAGCAACATTAAAAATTGGAGTCAAAAGACCTACAGACCAAGGGGTGCCTGGCTGGCTCAGTTGGTAGAGCGTGCAACCCTTGATCTCAGGGTTGTGAGTTAAGCCCTGTGTTGGGTATAGAGATCACTTAAAAATAAAATCTTAAAAAATAAACAAACCTAAAGACCGAGACACTGGACTTTATTTCCCTAATCCAGCAGTTCTGCAAGTTTTTACATCCCCAAGATCTTTTTGAGGAGCCTAAGAGGTTTTTTTTTTTAAGATTTTATTTACTTGAAAGTGAGAAAGAGTTAGAAGCAGAGAGCACAAAGGGAGAGGGAGAAGCAGACTCTCCCCTGAGCAGGGAGCCGGATGTAGGGCTCCATCCCAGGACCATGAGATCATGTCCCGAGCCGCAATCAAGAGCTGGCCGCCTAACCAGCTGAGCCACCCAGGCATCCCTTTATATCATTTTATACTTCCAACCTGATTTAATTTTGTAATGTTACCAAAGGAGTTTACTGCATTTTTAAATGAAAATTTTAAATTTGCTCTTCTGATTGCTAATAAGGTAAATACTGATAGCTATAACTCACACAAACAAAAGCCCATTGTAATTATCAAGAGGGTAAAGAGATCTTAAGACCAAAACACTTGAGAACTGACACCCTAATCATCACACAGCTCCTGGAAAATAGGAGGAAAAATGCAAAAATTTCAGTCTCAACACTTTCAAACTTCTCCATGAATTTTGCAAAATGATTCATTCTATCATTAATTCTAATTTTATAATTGGTTCACATAAACCCAGAAATTTAATTAATCACACATAGTTCACATACCATAACTATTACAAGGCAATCTGATAAGAACTCTAAGTTACATACAGGCCTTCAAAACACAGACCTACAGTTAAATTAAACTGCATATGGCAGCTTATTTATAACACGGAAGTTAACTAACCAATCATCCCAAGAGATTTTTTTTTAATTTTTTCAGAAGACATAGGTGAGGAATATTTGTCATTTTTTTCCCCAAAGTTAAATTCACAAGTAGTAATCAGTCTTTTCAGCACTATACTAATTGCATGGTGTATATACTCTTAAGGACTATAGTGCTCTCCAAGCTTTGTCAATATTCCCCAGCAGAATTTAAGATGGTAACATTCCCATTTAGGATGAAGCATACAGGAAAGGGTATTTTAACTGCAGAGGCAAAATTCAACAGCAGAAATGAGGAAAGTACTGTGACCATATCATATCGGGCACCTGTCCTGCTTTGCCCACTGCACCAATAAAGATGTGAAAAGTGGGAGAGCAAAGAATTATTATAAAAATGCAAATTCCAAACTGATGTGAAAACATAATCATACCTCCAAAACCTGCAACAGCCCTCCGAATACCACAAAGCTCCCAGGAGAATAGAACAAAAAGTAAGCTGTGGAACCCAAATTAACTCAAATTCCAATTTACATTTTAAGGAAGAATGGAAACATTTCAAAAGGTATATTTGCTTATATTTTGCAAAAGACTAAAGTATACCATGAACATTGCAATTTCAAAAATTTGGCAAATAATATCCGAGATACTGTCAAACACCTAAACTATTCCTTTGTGTTAACCAAATAATTGTAGTCAAGTAACAAGTGAATTTTTAAAACTGATCCCTGATGAAATTCTGAATTTAAAAAAAAGAAAAGGAGGAATGTCTTTCGAAAACTTACTTCTCATATTAACATCTATAGGATTTACACTTGCAGCGTGAACTTTGATAACAACTTCATTTGGACAGTGTATGACAGGTATCATCATGTTCTGAGTAAATCGAAGCACGTCATTCTTCCCGTATCTATCTATCACCCAGGCGGGCATGACAGTGCTCCTTGAAGAGGTAGTACTAATCTTTCCAACTAAAAGTTTTTGTACAGCGTGGCTTCTCCAAAAGCAAACCGCAGTACATGCATTTCTTCCAAGTACACACGTCTTCAGAAATTCCATCGTAAACATCAGTTGAACTGCGTGCCCTAATTAAAATGCATTTAAATGGGATGGAACTCCAACCCCTGAATCAAACACACTGGCCGATTTGAAAATTCAAAAATGAAGTCAGCCTAACTAATGGAGCAAATGAAGGAAGAAGAATATGGAATTATTCTGCTCTTCCCATCTGAAAAGCCCCAATTAACGTTCCAGTCACTATTCTGTTCATTCTCCTCCTTCCTCACATCCCCTCCCCTTTGAAACGCAAAAACAAAACCCCTAGAATCCAGGCCTGTCCCGGGAGCCCCCAGCAGGATAAGCTAACTCCGCTCGAGACCCAGACGCCAGAGAATCAGAGGCTCCCCGATTCCCTCCGAGACCCTAGCCCGAGTCTCCTTACGACCCGCTCTCCTTCGTCGCAGGAGTTGCTTTGCGGCGTCAACCAATCGCGTGCAAAGATCATTTCCCCGAGCAGCAATTCGACCAATCTAAGTACTCGGTGTTGAAAGGTGCAGTGACGATCAAAGATGGCTGCACCCATGTGATCCCGGCGCGGGTGTTGACCTCTCTTATTCCTCCTTGTCACCTGCGCCTTGTGGTGGCAGGCTGGGCAGAAGAACCATGCTGGGCCGGACCCTCCGAGAAGTGAGTGGAACTGGCTGCTGAGGGCCCAGGGAGGTCAGAAAGATTCGCGGATTCCGTGGACAAGGAGCCCCCGGGTCTGACCCGCATCTTGGTCAGCCTCGCCGTCTCCTTTCCTGGAACTGGGTGGGTGCTTCAGACCTTTGGGGCCTTCAGCTGTACTCCCTGTACCCATTCTGGAGTTAGGACCTCAGCAAGGGAGACTTACGGCAGCGCGGAGCTGTACGGTGGAAGTATACACCGGCTTCTCAATTAGACGTTGCTAAGCCTTGGGTCAGACCCCTGATCGATGGCCTCTCAGAGTGGGCTCCGCCAGTCCACTTTCAGTCTCTTCCTGTCCCCGACACTCATCTGACGCGGTTCTCGCTAAGAGGCTCAGCAGATCTGTACTTTGCAAAATACAAACGAGTAATTTTTAGTTCCCCACCCCCACCCCCGCCTTGACGTATACTCTAGACTTCACCTACTAAGATACTAATGATTCTCTCACCTGTGTCTTCCTGTCCTAGACATCATTTTTAAACTCTAGGCTAATATTTGTAAGTTCCCTCTGGACATCTCTTCCAAATGCCCCATAACCACCTCCACTTAATTTAGCCGAAGCTGACTTCAGCATTGCAATAGGACCACTTCTTATCTCTCAGTCTCCACCTTAAAAAACAAAAACCTGATTTCTGAATTCTTAATATTCTCTTTTTAATGGCACAACTCTTATCCCAGTTGCCCTTACATTCTTTCTCATCTGTCATATCCAATAAATCACTAAGCCCTGTTAATTCATACCTCCAAATTTATGTCTGGAAGTTGTTTTCTTCACTTACTCTCTGCTGTTAAGGCTTCAGTTCATGTCTCCTTGCTTTCTGGCCCATATCTGTCAACCTTGAGAACTGTCTGCAGGCCCACTCTTATCAGAATCACATCAGGTTCTTGTTAAAACCACAGCTGTGTCCCACTTTGGTAGCTCTGTGATTTGAGGACCAGAGGATATGGTTTAACCAAAGCTCCAGGTGATTCTGCTGATAAGTAGGGGTTGAGGACCTAGCCTGCCTTCCATCTTCCTGTAGTATCTTCACCTGGGAAATCTTCCACCCCCCACCCTCCATATGGTAGCCTTTTAGAAAGCTATAAATTATCATAACTTAAAATTGACAGGCATTTAATAATATATAGTCCTTTCCCAAAATACATTAGTATTTTACCATCTTAATATGGTTTCTGGCCTCTCCTACATATTTCTGTACAGTAAATTCCTCTACTAAAGAGTCCAATTTGTTCTTAAAAAAAAAAAAAGACCAAAAACTAGTTTTAAAATGAAATACAACCTATAAAAATACAGTATTTCCTTTCTCTGCCTTTTCCCCCTTCAGCACCCCGTCTTTTGTGCCACCTCTTTCTGGTGTTGTTGAATGAGCCCCTGTGAGAAACAACTTTTGCCTCCAGGGGGGAAAAAAACAGGAGAGCTGACCTAAGGTACACGAGAGGTTGCCTGAACAGGATTACTTTCACTTAATTACTTCTTTAACAAATATTTGTTGATGCCTACTGTGCACAAAACATTATTTGGTAGTCATTTTCCCAGCCCAAAAAATATCTTCTCTCCGCTTTATATTTTTTCTCACATCATTGTACATCCCAAGTTCTACCAATCAGAGATTATTTTAGTACATGTTCTTTTAAATATATAAAGATGCCTTGCAGGGTCGAATGATTTATTCACCCATTGTTGTGAGTTACAGTAGTTTAATAAAATTTCTCTCCATCACATGCTAGTTGATATAATCAATTGAAAAAAGGGAAAATTTGCTGGGGAGGAAATTTGGTAGAGGAGCTGGAAACTAAGAGTTTTGAGGCAATGTTGGGGACCTAAGTGAGGCTTAGAGTAACAGAGGGGGCCTGGAAGGAAGCACTAAAAGGAGGTAACATGCCAAATGGGAGGTAAAAGTCCTGTTTCTCAAGTTTTATGCAGGTACATTCAGGAAAGAGGAGGAGTCTCACTTTCACCTTCCTCTTTTGTGGTATCTTCCCAGTGATTCTAGGAGCCAGACATCAGGCTAATATTAATCCTAAAGTTATTAATTATATATTGAATAGGCTTGTTGGGGGTCTACCTAAGAACACTTAATTATTGTTCTATGGGAAAACAGATTCCAAATTTTAAATAACTCAGGTATGCATTCACTCAACTAACATTTAGTGAGCACCTCTGTGTTCCAGACATGGAATTAACATTGAAGACAATCAGAAGTTCCTGCCCTCGTGAAGCCTGCATTTTTGTGGGGAAACAGGCATTAAAGAAGTTTTTTTTTTAAGTAAATAATATAATCACAGGTAGTATAAGTACTATGAAGAAAGATTAAGCAGGCCACAGTGTGAGAACTAGTGGGGGGAGCCAGATGTGTTGGAGTGGTCAGGAAAGGTTTCTCTGAGCATTATTAAGAGATCTAAAGGATATGAAGGGGAAGCCCTGGGAAGGCCTGGGAGAATAGTATTCCAGGCAGAGGGAACAGTAAGTGCAAAGGGTCTGAAGCAAGAGCAAGCTTGACACATTCAGGAGTTGCAAGAAGGCCAGCATGCCTAGAGAAGTGTGAATGAAGAGGAAAATAGTGGGATATGAGGTTAGAGAGATAAACAGGAGCCAGATCATGGAAAACTTTAGGCTGTGCTGAGTGTGGATTTTATTCTAAGTGTAATGAGAAGCCTCTGGAAATTTGTGAGTATGTGGATATGATTTGATTTAAAATTTAATATATTTTTTTAAGATTTTATTTATTTATTTGAGAGAGAGAGAATGGGAGATAGCACGAGAGGGAAGAGGGTCAGAGGGAGAAGCAGACTCCCTGCTGAGCAGGGAGCCCGATGCGGGACTCGATGAGGGACTCGATCCCGGGACTCCAGGATCATGACCTGAGCCGAAGGCAGTCGCTTAACCAATTGAGCCACCCAGGCGCCCTTGATTTAAAATTTAAAAAGCTCCTTCAGGTTATTCCTAAAGATATGGTCTGTAGGAAAGCAAACGAGGAAGTAGGAAGATCACTTAGAAGGCAAGAGATGATGGCAGCATAGATACGGTGGCCATAAAGATAATGTGAAATGGGATTGTTTTTTAAGTTAGGGCTTGCTGATGGATTGGATACAGACTTTGAGGGAAAGAGAAGAATGAAGGAGGATGGTTAGATTTTTGACCTGGGGAGTTGGGAAAGTGGTAACATCAAGATGGGGAAGAGGTTTTTTCCCCCCATTTTTTTTAATTGAGGTGTAATTGACATAGAACATTATATTAGTTGCAGGTGTACAACATGATTTGGTATTTGTATACACTGCAAAATGATCACAATAAGTCTAGTTTTTCCCGATCACCATATAGTTACATAATGTACAATATTGTTGGCTATAATTACCATGTTGTACATTATATCCCCATGACATTTATTTTATGACTGGAAGTTTGTACCTCTTGTACCTTCTCCCATTTGCCCATCCCCTAACCTCCCTCCCTACTGGCATCCATCAGTCTGTTCTCTGCATCTATGAGTTTTGTTTTTTAGATTCCACATGTAAGTGAAATCATAACGGTATTTGTCTTTTTCTGACTTGTTCCACTTAGCATAATACTCTCAAGGTCCATCCATGTCACAAATGGCAAGATTTCATTTTTTTATGGCTAATATTCCACCGTATATATACCACATCTCCTTTATCCATGCATCCATCAGTGGACAGGTTGTTTCCACATTTTGGCTACTGTGAATAATGTTGTAATGAACATAAGGGTGCATGTATCTTTTCGAATTAGTGTTTTCATTTCTTCGACTAAATACCCAGAATCGGAATTGCTGGATCATATGATAGTTCTGTTTTTAGTTTTTTGAGGACCCCCATACAGGAAGGACTCCTAGGAAGCATATTTGGAAGGAGGAAGGTTATCAAGACTTCTGTTCTGGGCATGTTAATTTGGAGATGTCTGCTGGCTATCCAGGTGAAGAAGTCAGTTAAGCAGGTGGCTATCTAGGAGTTTGGAGATCAGAAAAGCAGCTAGGTATGAGGATGTAAAGTGGCCAGAGTATAGAAGATAATAAAAGTGTGTTGCCAGATAAGAACACCCAGGGAGCTGAGTACGAAAATAGAAGGCCTAAAACTTTCCAACATTTAGTCAGCAATAGGAAGCAGAGCCAGCAAAAGAGACGTGAAGGAATGGTAAGGCAAGAGGAACACCAGGTCTTGGTGTCCTGAAACACAAGTGAAAAAGCTTCAAGAGGAGAGTGTTCTCTTAAGTTGAATGCTGCTGAAAAGTACTTGTAAGATGAGGACTGAGCATTGACTGCTGGATTTAGGAATGTGAGGTTGCTAGTGATCCTGATGCAATTTCTTGAAACATTGGAGACAAAAGCATGAATGGAGTGTGTTAATGGGTTCCAGTCAACTGGACACTCAGGCCCCAAGGGCTCTCCTATACCTTCAGCATTTATCAAGACAATTCTTTTTAAATGGTGGTTCTTTTCCTAAGTGAACTTCTGATGCTCTCTGTAAAGTTAATAGTATAGTGGTCCAGAGCATGGGGTTTGGAAACAAGAACAGGCCTTGGTTGAATCCCAGCAGCTCGGCTACTTTCTAGCTTTGTGACCTCAAGCAGGTAGTTAAAAAACTAACCTCAAACGTTAGTTTTTTATCTGTAAGAAGAAAATAAGAATATCAGCCCCTCATAGTGGATATAAAGATTAAATGAAATATAAAACATCGGTGGGTGGGGGATGGGTGAAATAGGTGATGGGGATTAAGGAGGGCACTTGCTGTGATGAGCACCGGGTGTTGTATGGAATTGTTGAATCATTATATGGTACACCTGAAACTAACAGAACACTGCTAACTATACTGGAATTAAAATAAAATTTTAAAAATCTTGAAAAAAAAGAAATAGAAAGCATCTAGGGTAATGCCTAGAACTAAGTGCTATTATTGACATTAATTTTGTTATAGGGACAAATTTACTAAATTATATGTATTTACAATGATCTCTTCCCCTAGTTTCTAAGAAGAGTGTCTCCTGAGGAAGATTTCTTAATTTTTCTAAGAAGGCATATTATTTTTCTCTTGCTGCCTAACAAATTAACATAAACTTTTTGGCTTAAGATAATCCTGTTATCATCTTACAGTTTCGTGGGTCAGGAGTCCAGAAATGGAGTAGCTGGGTTCTCTGCTCACAAGAGTCTCAGAAGGCTGAAATCAAGGGGTCAGCCAAGGCTGTGGTTTCATCTGAAGCTCAGGGTCCTCTTTCAACCTCATTGGTTGTTGGAAGACTCTGTTTCTTTGCAGTTGTAGGACTGAGGTCCCCATGTTTTTCTTGACCATGTGGATGGTTGAGCAAATAAGCCGAGTGGACAGGAGGTGTGGGATAACTAAAATTGAGGTTTCGGAGGTTATAGAGATACTGGTAATGATGTAGTCTGAGCTGAGTTGGTAACTGGGGCAAGGTGAAGGAAAAGTTTGCCTGAAATGAGGTCAAGAACTGAGAGGCCAGGTGTCAGTGTACGTTACTTGAAGTCTGAAGTCAACCAGAATAACAGCAGGAGCAACTGTAAAGATTAAAGGGAGCTTAATGCGAAAATCTTCAATGAATGAAAAGGAGTACTCGGGAGACGGATTCACACCCCAAGGAGAGTGATATAAGCTCCTCTAAGGCCTGTACTTCAGCTGAGCTGGGATTTTTGAACGAAGAGGGAAGAGGGAAGAGGGGGGCATTGAGGAATGAGATGGATGCCTCCCTGTACATTCTCCCTGACTCTGGTCCATGGTGGGTAGAAGCTAAAGCAGTCTTCTCTTGAGAAAGCTGCAGGAAAAGCAGGGGTCTCAAGGAAAAGCCTACTTTCCATTAGAGAAAAGTCAGGGAGAGTGAATTTGGTTTAAAAAAAAACTCTTATAGTTGATTTCATCTTATATTCCGCTATGCCACCTTCAGTTTTGCCCTAGGGAAGCTGCACTGTTCTATTTCACACTCCTTATGCTCAGGCCATTCGAGCTAGTTACCATCTTTGTTTTCATTTCCCTTCTCCAATTCTCTTACTGACTTTCTCAAATCTGGGTTTCCTAAGAATGGTCCTAATGAAGATCAGCACCATTTAAAATGAGTGCTCCTAGACAATCTCATTTCTTGCCCTTGTAACCACAACTGTAACTCATTTCCCTTGTATTCTTACACCAGCTGGCAAGTCAGGAAGCAGCTTGAGGATAGCAGGCATTAGGAGACTTGAGGGGAGGCAAAGAAAGGCATAATTTTCTTCATTACCAGTTTGGCCATGGCATAGCCCAGCTGCCCTGCCCCTCCCAGGGCCCCTCCCCCTGCCCTGCCCCTCCTCGGGTCCCTCCCCCAGCTGCCCCTTGGTGACTCTTTCCTCCTCTTATGCATCAGCCTGAGGGGACCTCTCCGTGGCCTGTTGCCAGTGCTTTAAGCTCCCCTAAAACCCTCAGCCCTAAGAATACCGCTGCTTTGACGATTTAATCAACAGCTGAGAGCAGATGATTTGCAGATTTTCTCCTCAAATGCAAACTCCTGTTGCTTGGTGGATGTAAGACACCTGAAGATGCAGTCAGCTCAGAGGACAGACTGAGCTTGCTCTTGCGCAGAGAGAGATAGTGAAAGAGCACATGTTATGACCTTCCCTTTACTCTGTACTGCTGTGTGGCTTCGGACAAATCACTAACCTCTCTGAGCTTAAGTTTCTGCATCTGTAAAATGAGGTTAATAAGATATAACTTACATGATTGTGTTAAGGTGAAGGGAGGTAGTAATGCACGTAAAGCAATAGTATCCGGCTCTTGGTAAATACTCAATAAACATTACTCCGCCCATCCACCTTCTCCCCAAGCCCCCATCTCATCCAACTCTGTTCAGTTAATCTGCAAAGCTTTGGTGTCATCTTTGACTTATTGTTCATTGCTTTTATTTAATTAGTAAGTACTTATTATTACTTCCTCCAGGAAGTATTAAATAGTCATCACTTCAGGCTTCGCTTACTATAAACATAGATTCTGGTCACTTGTAATGCAGTTTATCTTAACACTTTGTTTACTAGCCTTTCTAATGCATCCAAGACAGGATTGCAGAGAAGTTTGGTTTTAGTTTGCTTTTGAACCCGTATTTTGTAAGCATTTCTCTCAATTTGTAGTGGCTCTTAACTCAAATTCTGCAGTAAAACATAAAGATCTCACTTCGAGTCATAAGGTCCTGCAGGGCCTTGTCCAATCTGTTGCTCTCACTCTGTATTGCCTGCGTTCCCGCCTTGCCCCACCCATGCCCACCCACGCCAAGCCTCCCCCCCACCCACCCCTACTCAAGCTGATGGGTGCATTACCCTCATTCACTATACTCCCGAGGTATAGAGTTCTCTTGGTTTTGAATCCAAGCTTCACTTCAACATTTTACACTTCACCACTCTATCTGCCCACTCAGTATAATACTTGTATCTTCTGCAGCCTCAGTAAAAGGTTTTTATTTTATTTTATTATGTTATGTTAATCACCATACATTACATCATTAATTTTTGATGATTCATTGTTTGCGTATAACACCCAGTGCTCCATGCAGTACATGCCCTCTTTAATACCCATCACCGGGTATTAAACTAACCTATCCCTCCCACCCCTCAGTAAAACGTTTTTGAATTGTATATATTACAGGTTTCTACAGCACTGAAACAAGGCCACATTACTCCAACAGAGCTCTGTCAAAAATGTCTCTCCCTTATCAAGAAGACTAAATTTCTAAATGCTTACATTACTGTATCAGAAGAGGTGGCCTTAAAGCAAGCTGAAGAATCGGAGAAAAGATACAAGAAAGGTAAATTACTGTGAATTATACTTAATTGGCATATCCCTAGAGGAAGAATTTAATTGGATGTAGCAGTCTCCATTTGTCAAGTGAGGCTTTTTAACATGAAACATAGCCTTATTTAAAGAACTTGCCATGAGGTACAATAAAAATAAGGCTAATGGGCATGTGATGCTTTCTAATGCCCAACTGTAATAATTCCTAACATCAACTTGATTTATGAAGAAGTATCTTTACCAAAAACTAATAGTTATTGTAATAACTAGTATTAATGTGTCTTTATATTCTGGATATAGCTCCTATTCTTTTGGCTTTTTAACGCAGGTCACTCACTTGGGGATTTAGATGGAATTCCCGTTGCAGTAAAAGACAACTTTAGCACGTCCAGCATTGAGACAACATGTGCATCAAACATGCTGAAAGGTAAAGTTTAATTGACCAGAGCATTAATAGTTTTATGAAACTATTTTTTCAGCTTAAAGATAAGATACTAAAGCACCAAAGTATTCTCAGACAAATTATATCTGCAAAAGAAGTACTTAGGCTGGAATATTCTTACTATTGGCTCTTTTGGAATTCAAAATTATCCCTTAAGAGGTAGGCCAGCTTAATGGATGTATCCTATTTAAGATGTTTTAGAAATCCTACTTAGGGAGATTTACTAACTGACCACCACACACACACGCAGTGCCCTCTGACTCCCGCCACGGGACTAGGGAGGAAGGGGCTGTCATCACCTGTCTCGTGAGGGTGGTCTGAGGATTCGCTTTTATTGTCTAGCTGTTTTTTGTTTCCCAACTCCTCCATCTCTTATATCACTATATTTATCTGAGTATATAGTGATGCTTAGTTTTATTCTTTACAGTTTAGTAGGTCAAAAGGAAACCTGTTTCTCAAGATTTCTGGATCCTAGAAGGAAAAAGACATGGCAAAATCTTGTTCAGAGTGCTACACACTAAAAGAAAGTCTATGAGGAATATGGCCCAGATTCCTCTGATAGGTAGATTGTTGATAATTGTCATGGAGTACACACTAGATGAAATTTCACTTGAGAATAAAGATCTATTTCTGACTGGAAATAGATAAAAAATTACTATGGGATATAGCATTTCAAGTACAATGAGCAAAATAATGATGTGCTATTAGTTTCAAATGAATTGGGTACATCTCTTTCAGTATTGTGTAGTAGTAACTGTTAATGTTTTTAGATGATAATAGTGAATATACCATTGCCTTTGGAAAACGGAGCAATTAGCAGTAGAAAGATTAAAATTAACTAGTTTTTGGAAGAAAGTACTACCTGCTACTCAAATTAGGAATAATTAATACATGTCAATATGAATAGCTTGGTTGTAGTTTAAAATCTTGTTTCTTGCATGTGATTTACATGTTCACTGTTTTCTCTCCTATAATAAAAATAATTTTTTCAGGTTATGTACCACCTTATAATGCTACAGTTGTTCAGAAGTTGTTGGATAAGGGAGCTGTCCTGATGGGAAAAACAAATTTAGATGAGTTTGCAATGGGGTAAGTAAAATTAAAATTTTCTTCTCTTGTATTTCTTTCATCTTTGTCTTTAATTTCATTAAATGTAGGTACCCAAAAGCCCTGAGGTGATTTCTTGAGGACTCTAATGCCAGTTTCTCAGTCCCTCTGTGGAATTATGTTTTATTGTTTAATGCATATATGGTCAGATCTCATTTTGGTTTTAGTCTGCGTTGCCCTGATGACTAATGATGTTAAACATCATGTGTTTATTTTGCTACCCATGTTTCTTCTTTGGTGAAGTATTTATTCAAATCTTTTACCCTTTTTTTTTTAATTGGGCTGTTTGTCCTACTGAGTTCTAAGAGTTCTTTTATATGTTCTGGATTCAGGTCCATTGTTAGATAGGTAATTTGCAAATAATTTCTCCAAGTCTCTGGCTTGTCTTTTTGTTCTCTGAACTTTCCTTTCAAAGAGTGAAAGTTCCTAATTTTGATGAAGTCCACTTCATCTTTTTTTTTATGATTAATGCATTTTGTATCTTAACTAAGAAATTTTTACCTGACCCACAGTCACAAAAATTTTTCTCCTAGAAGTCTTAAAGTTTTTACCTTTAGATTCATGATCCATTTGAGTTAATTTTCTTATATGTGGTGTGAATAAAGCCAAGGTTCATTTATTTGCACAGGTGTCCAATAGTTCTGGCCCTATTTGTAAAAAAAAAAAAAAAGATTATCCTTTCCTCATTAAATTACCTTGGTTCCTTTGTCAAAAATCAGTTGGAGCATATATACATATATAGATCTGTTTCTGGATTCTGTTCTGTTGATCCCTCTACTTACTTTAATATGCTATCTTGATTTTAAGATTTTATTTATTTACTTGAGAGAGCAAGAGAGAGTGAGAGAGCATGAGTGGGCTGGGGGAAGGACAGAAGAAGAGGGAAAAGCAGGCTCCCCACTGAGGAGGGAGCCTGACGTGGGGCTCGATCCCAGGACCCCGGGCCAAAGGCAGACGCTTAACCTACTGAGCCACCCAGGTGCCCCAGTTCCTGTAGCTTTATAGTAAGCCTTGAAATTAGGTAGTGAGAGTCCATTAACAGTTTTTCTTTTTCAAAATTATTTTACATATGCTAGGTCCTTTGCATTTCCATAGAAGTTTTAGAATCAGCTTGCTGATTTCTACAGAGAAGCTTGATAAGATTTTATGATTGTGAATTTATAGATCAAGTTGGGGAGATTTGACATCTTCATATGTATCTTATGATCCATGAACACTTTATATCTATCCATTTATTTAGATTTTAATTTTTCTCAGCAGTATTTTTATGATTTTTTTGCATATAAACCTTGTATGTAATTTGTTTGATTTATTCCCAAGTATTTCAACTTTTTTTTAGATTTTATTTATTTATTTGAGAGAGAGAGAGAGGGCATGAGTCGGTGGGAGGGGCAGAGAGAAAGGGAGAAGCAGACTCCCAGCTGAGCAGGGAGCCTGATGACGCAGGGTTCCATCCCCTCCATCCACCCTGAGATCATGACCTGAGCCAAAGGCAGATGCTTAACTGACTGAGCCACCCAGGCACCCCCCAGGTATTTCAGTTTTTTAATGATAAAACGGTATTTTTTTAATGTCTAATTGTTTGTTAGTATATAGAAATATAATTGATTTTTCTATATTGACCTTGTATCCCATGACCTTGCTAAGCTCTCTTTTTAGTTCTAGTTGATCTTTGTAGATTCTTTGGTATATTGTATGTAGATGATCGTGTAGCCTACAAATAGAGGCAGTTTTATTTCTTCTTATTTCTCTTTCTTATTGTGTTGGTTAGGACTTTAGTACAACACTGAGTAGAAGTAATAAGAGCAGATATCCTTGCCTTGTTCCTGATTTGGGAGAGAAAGCATTCAGTGTGTCACCAAAAGTGCTTTCTATTTTCCCTTTTATAACACTTGTCACATTTGTAATATTTGCTTGGTTTGTGCTCCCTGTTTCATAGAAGCAGAATCTTTGACTCTCTTATTTACAGTGGTATCTCTTGGCACTCAGCAAATAAATGTTGAATGAATTAATCCAAGAGAGTAAACTTGAACATTGGTTATTAGGACATTGCCTTGAACAGCTGATCAAAATGAACATAATCAGTGAGGGTAAGTGGACATCGTGTAATACTAGATGTGATTCCCTAAGGACACACCATCATCTATGCAGTATTCCAGCTGAAAATGTTAAACCTGAAACTAATAACAAGGAAATAAAAGATAAGTCTGAAATGAGAAACATTCTATTAAAATATGAATATCATAAAAAATGAAGAAAGGCTACGAAAATATTCCCAGATTAAAAGAGCCTAAGGAAAGTATAACTTAAAACTTATAGAAGAAAATGTAGGAGAAAATCTTTCTGACCTTGAGTTAGGCAAAGATTTTTTAAATGAGACACATGAAGTACAATCCATAAAATAAAAAACTGATAGATTGGACTTCACTGGAATTAAGAACTTCTCTACTTTACACTACTAAAAAATGAAAAAACAAGCCACAGCCTGGGAGAAAATCTTTGCAAAACATATATCTGAGAAAGAACTGGCATCCAGTATATATAGAACCTTACCCAACTCAAAAATAAGAAAACAGCCCAATTAAAAAACAAAATGGATAAAATATGTAAGCAGACATTTCATCAAAGAAGATATATAGTTGGCACTAAACGCATGAAAAAAAAGCTGAGCATGGTTAGTCATTCAGGAAATGCAAATTAAAACCACAAGGAGATACATACACCTGTTAGAATGGCTTAAAAATGACAGTATCAAGTGCTGACAAGGATGCAGAGCAATTGAGTATCTCATACAGTGTTGGTAGGAAATGCAAAATGGTATAGCCGTTTTGGAAAATAGTTTGCCAGTTAAAGTTAAACATCATATGATCCAACATTCTCAGTCCTACATATTTACCCAAGAGATGAAGACTCATATTTACACAAAAGCAATGGCTAGGGTCTTTCAATACAATATTTATTGTGGCTTTATTCATAATTACCAAAAACTGGAAATAACTCAATGTCCATTGGCTGGTGAATGATTTAAAATGTACAAAAAGAGGCTAAAGAGATGATGATAACTAAATGCAATACCTGACTCGAGACTGTACTGGGAGGGGGTAAAATGCTGTAAAGGACATTATTGGATCAGCTGACCAAACTGGATTACATACAGTGGATTAGATAAAAATATTGTATGGATGTTAAGTCTACTGAGATTGATAACTGTACTGTGACTACATAAGGGAAGACCCTTACTGTTAGGAAATGCACACTGAATACATACTAAAATATTTAGGGGTAAAGGGCCTTGATAAACCTAATTTACCCTTACGTGGTTCAGAAACAAAAAGTATTTGTATATGTTACAGACACACATAAAGCACACAAATGGTAAAACAAATTGGGTGATTTGTTAATAATAGGTGAATCTGGGTGAAGGGTATAAAGTCCTTTTCATATTATTTTGATTTTTGCAATTTACCTGTAAGATTGAAATTATTTCAGAACTTTTAAAATAAGTTATTATTTAACTTACGCTTGTCTTAAAACATCTGGTTAATAGAGGGAATCCTTCAGAGGACTTCTTGTTAACTCTTTGAGTGTTTATGACAGTCTTCAACTGCAAGACCTTGATTTACAAGGGACATCATCATAAGCTGAATTGGATGATCAACTGGGGTAAAAATCCTCTTTTCTTAACAGACTAGTTTTCTCTACTTTCTCCCACATGCTCTTACTTCCCATCCTCCACCTCCTCAACCATCTAATTAATGAAGACTACATCTAAGCAGGCTTCTTGGCTTTTCCAATTCAAGTTCCAGTGGATTATACAGTGTTAGGAGCAAATAATATAATCAGGAGGTAAAATTCTCATATAAAATGAAAGTTTTGTTAAAGATATCTTGCTTCACTTCATCTCAGATCTGGAAGCACAGATGGTGTATTTGGACCAGTTAAAAACCCCTGGAGTTATTCAAAACAATATAGAGAAAAGAGGAAGCAGGAGGCCCATGGTGAGAATGAGGATTCAAATTGGCTTATAACTGGAGGAAGCTCAGGAGGGAGTGCGGCGGCGGTAGCGGCGTTCACATGCTTTGCGTAAGGTGCTTTGTTCTGTTTGTACTGTAAAGCCCAACCAGATACAAATAGTCATAAACCATCCTCAGAATCCAACAATAGAGTAGTTCATACGTGCTATTTTTATTTCCTTTCAGTGAGTTATTTGTGCTCGATGGTATATAAAAATTGTATCTTATGAATATGCTCAACTGTACAGTATATGTAATGTGTATTTTATACGTTTAACTTTAATTTAATATTTAAACTCTTCCTCTATAGTATCTGGTTTTCTTAAAAAACATGATTTTATGGATCTTGCAGAATAAACCAGTTAGCATAATTGAATTTCATTTTTAAAATAATTTATTTGGGTGTCTGCTGACCGATGATACAAATATTTAGGGACTAAGATACCATGGCTTTAGTTGAGTGCTGCTGAGCTATTAATTATGGTTTATCCTTCAGCTAAATCAGGCTTTTGTCTAAAAAAGGGGGGGAGAGAAAAAATGTTCCTGATATGTATCAGTAGGATATTTAAAAGTGTTTTCATAAATCTGCAACTAAAAATGTATATCAAGGAGTAAAGTTTTCTTCACGTTTGTTAGGAGTTGTTCAACTGTTCTATTTGTATTTGGGAAGAATCCATCCATCATGCTTTATGTTTTAAGTCCCATTTGTAAAGCATTTCTTAACCACCTAAAGAAGAGTAAATAAATACCACTGTTATTTACTTTCTCAGTTTCAGTATAAAATTGAGTGTTTCTTTAGTAGTACTTGTATGTACTTTATTTCTCCTTAATTATCTGCTAAAACTAAGCTCTGTCACAGACATTGCAACCAATAAATTATTTATATTTTTTAGAGCTATGGAGATTTAGGTTCTTGGGATTTTTTTTTTTTTTTAGTTTCTCTGAAATCTTATTTACAAGTAAAACCATTTCATTTCCTCTCTGTGGAATTTTATAACATTGCATTTATATTAATGAGAGTTCTGACAAGTTAGGACTGCAAGATTAGGTGCTTTTTTCTCCTCTCATCATGCTACTTAATGTTCATCTTTCTGAATGTGCTCAGAGAAGATATGGCATTTTGACACATAATTCCTATGGAAATGTAGGTTTTACTTTTATACAGCCGTCAGTGAATCCTAATAAGAAAATGTGTCCTTTTAGAAATTGTGAAAGCAACAGCCTGATTTCGTAGTTTACGCGGACTTGGTAAGAAAGACAGTCTAATTTGCATTTTCTGTAGAGCTCAAGGGCCATGTGACTGGTAGGAGCCTTGTTCAGTCCAAAGCTTTATTCTGGGTATAGTCAAGAGAAGCACAGACCCAGAGTAACTTCAGATGGAATGGGTCCCAAATTATCAGGTGTTCTGCTTTGTTCCCCCCGCCTTTTGATTTGCTTCTTCTATAATTGTTTTAAAAACAGGGAGGTTGTTGGAGTATTATGTACCCACTAAAAGGAATGAGCGAGAGTGCTTTGTAGTGTCGGAAAGATATCAAAGATACACTGTTAGGTGGAAAATAAGTTGCAGAATACTACCTACAGTATGACCTTCTTCCTGTTAAAAGTAATAATTACATACGTATATATGTTAGTTGCATGGAAGTGTCTGGATGAGTATATCAAAACATAACGGGATTGTTAGGGAGGCAGTGATTATAAGAGAAATTTCACTTTATACACCATGTACTTACACAATATTTTAAATTTTGTAGTTGGCACATACACTTTTCTAATCAGGAAAACCTTTTTTCTCTGAAATAGTTAAAAGTTTAAACAAATTTTTAATTATGGTAAAATCTACATAACCTAAAATTTACCATCTTAACCATTTTTAAGTGTACAGTTCAGTGTTAAATACATTCACATTGTTGTGCAACGAATCTCCAGAACTTGGTTCATTTGCAGAACTGAAACTTGGTACCCTTTAAACAACAGCTTCCCATTTGCCTGTCCCCCCAACCCCTGGCAATCACTCTTTTACTTTCTGTCTCTATGAACTTGAAGACTCTAGGGTACCTAGAGTGAAAATTATTGAGTATTTGTGCTTTTATAACTGACCTATTTCACGTAACAAAATGTTCTCAAGATTAGTTTTTGGTTTTGTTTTTAATAAGAAAAACATACTCTATAGGTAACTGAGCAAAGAAATGAGCACTTCATAGTTGGGTAATGCAAATACAAAGAAATGTGAAAAATTATTCAAAAATACACATTAACAAAGCTTTTTGGTTATTCAGATAACCAGCTTTTAAGAACTGCTAGTACTCAGTGATGATAATAAAACATAAGGCCAAATGTGATTCACTGCAGTTGGAAATATAAATTGGCAGAGCCTCTCTGACAAGTCATTTGACAATACAGATTAAGAACTTAGAATAACAGGCAGACCCTATGGCTCATTAACTCTACTTCTTGGAAGCCAGCCTAAAAAATAATCAGACATGGGCAAAGATTTATGTTTACAGGTGTTTATTACAAAGTAGTTTATTATGTAGTTATTATCCTTCTTGGCAACAACATAAATGTTTAAATAAATTAAAGTACATTTCTATCCATGATTCTAAATGAGGTAGTGGAAGGTTCTGTGTATGAATTTTTGGGAGAAGTGTGTTTAGTTTATAAAAGCATACTGTAAAACTGCCATTAAAGGAAGGTATAAGGTGTCTGTATGTATACTGATAGGGGAACGGGCTTTGAAATCCTGGGGATCACTAATTGATATGGAATACTCTACATATTTTAAATTTTCAGTGATTTTAATGAGCTAGCAAAAGGCTCATGATAAGAAAAAAAGGGATGGGAACTTACAATTACAGAATGCCCTGAGCCATGAAAGAAAACTGCATTTTAAAAAAGTCTTGAAGTTAATAGGCCAAAATGTTAACAGTGTTTGCCTCAGGCGGTAGAATATTTTGTTACCTCTTTACACTTTTTCTATATTTTAGGAGTTCTCTGATACAAGCATGTCTTACTTTTGTATAACCAGGGGAAATAAAATTTAAAAGTGTACACTTAAAAATAGATTCCAGATATAATGGCAGATATGTCATTCTCCTAAAGAAAATTCCATTTAAATTCCAGGGCTTTAGGATCAGACACAGGAGGATCGACCAGAAATCCAGCTGCCCACTGTGGGGTTGTTGGTTTCAAACCAAGCTATGGCTTAGTTTCTCGTCATGGCCTCATTCCGCTGGTGAATTCAATGGATGTGCCAGGAATCTTAACCAGATGTGTGGATGATGCAGCAATTGTGTTAGGTATTTATATGATTCCATAGAGTTTCAAAACATTGTAAGTTTCACTGTAAAACAATATGTCTGTCATTCCTGAGTATTTTTCTTCACAGGTATGTTGGCTGGGCATGACCCCAAAGATTCTACCACAATACAGGATCCTGTTAAACCATTTACACTTCCCACTTTTGCAGATGTGAACAAACTATGTATAGGAATTCCAAAGGTAACTCTTCCCTTTTATTACTTTACAGAAATACTATCAAGTCAACCACAGAGCAACAGACTTGGGAGACAGACTGGTTGGGTTTGAACCCTGCACTGCCACTTTTATTAGCTATGCAGCCTGAGCACATGACTTATTCTAAGCTCAATTTCCCAGTCTACAACATGGGGATAATAACAGTGTTGATCTCAGAGAGTAGTAAGGTTTAAATTTGGCAATCATCGTGGGGATATAATATATAACGTGGTGACTGTAGTTAATAATACCGTACTGCATATTTGAAAGTTACTAAGAGAGTAGTTCTTAAAGTTCTTATCACAAGGGGAAAAAACTGTCACTGTGTATTGTGATGGTTATTAACTTAGACTTATTGTGGTGATCATTTCTTAATATATACAAATATTGAATCATATGTTGAAACTATCATAATGTTGTATGTCAGTTATACCTCAGTAAAAAAAATCAGTCATGTTAAGCAGGAGTCTGTAAACATTTTCTGTAAAGGGTCAGATGGTAAATATTTTAGGCTTTGTGGGCCATACGGTCTTTATTGTCACTATTTAACTCCGCCACTGTCGTGTGAAAGCAGCCAGGGACCATATGTAAATGAAAGAGTGTGGCTGTGCTCTAGTAAAACTTCATTTTCAAAAATAACTGGCAAGTTATATCTGGCTGGTAGGCCATAATCTGCTAACCCCGTATGTAAACAACATAGCCCAGAGCCATACCTTGCATGGTAAAGGCTTAATACACATTACCATCTTTACTACCATTATTAGTATTACTACTACATTTATTACAGTAGCACCTGAGTAATTCATATGTGAAAGTAAATATGTTAAATTACTGACCTTTAAAAAGCTTTTTAAATTTTAAACTTAGCAGTAATTTTTTGGATAATTTTTTGTTGTGGGACACTTGTCCTATGTGTTGTAAGACGTTTAGCAGCATCACTGGCCTTTTCCCTCAGAAGTAGCGCCCCCACCACAGCACAACCCCACAAACAAAAATGTCTGTAGACATTACCAAATGTCCCCTCGTTGAGAGAAAGAGATAAAATTGCCCCCATTTGAGAGAGAGATACTTTCTTTATAATTTTCAGTTAATAGCTGGGCCTTCCTTTAAGGATTTAGAGAAAGCACAGGTTGTGGGAAGAGACCAGTTTAGAATCCGAGATCCTCTACTTACCTGCTGTGTAACTTCAGGAAAGTTACTGAACTTGTCCAGTCTCAGTATTTTTCATTAATAAAATGAAGGATGATAATACCTACATCATGGGATTGTTAAAAGCATTAAGTGAGGGGGCACCTCGGTGGCTCAGTTGGTTAAGCATCTAACTCTTGATCTCAGCCCAGGTCTTGATCTTGAGTTCAAGCCCCATGTTGGGCTCCAGCGTGGAGCCCACTTGAAAAAAAAAAAATGTTCAATCTGAGACTCCTTATCCAAAAGTTTCTGCAAAAGCATTAAGTGAGAGGACCTTTGAAAAGCATCTAGCAGAGTATCTGATAATGAACATTTAACAAATATGGGTTCTCTGGCCATTTCTCTCATCTTTAATATTGTTATATCCAGCTTATAAATAATTAGTACAGTGCTTGTCATGCCATCAACACTCTAAAATTAGTTCAATTTTTCTAGCTACCTACTAGCAATTTAATCAGATTTTCTAATGTATTGCCTAAGGTCCTAAGTACATATTTTTATAAAACCATCTATACAGATGTTCTGATTTCTGTATCTTGGCTTTTTCCAATAAGGAATATCTTGCACCAGAATTATCGAGTGAAGTGCGATCTTTTTGGTCCAAAGCTGCTAACCTCTTTGAGTCTGAGGGGGCCAAAGTAATCGAAGTGTCCCTGCCTCACACGAGTTACTCAATTGTCTGCTACCATGTATTGTGTACATCAGAAGTGGCATCAAATATGGCAAGATTTGATGGGCTAGAATATGGTAAGATGGCTGTGTTTGGGATTTGTAAGGTAGTTGTCTCCAACATTTGGAAGTTTTACTTATTCATGATAAAAAAAATTATCCCCAGAGTTAATGTTGATGATTTAGACAAGTAAACCAGCGAGTCCTCTTACCTTTGTCATTTAGCCTTCTGCGTACACTGTTCATCATAAATATCTCTGTATGTTTGGCTCCCCTTTCTGAACTGTGAATATTTTACAGGAATAGGGTCTTATCTTCGTATTCTCGGTCTATCAAATGTGGTGCCTGGCACATGGTAGGAGTTCAGTAGATATTTGGATGGATGGAGGGAGGAGGGTAGGAGGGATGGATGGATGAATGGATGGAGGGATGGATGGATAGATGAGGAGGTGAACAAATGAAGTTTCCCTATTGGTTATTTTCTCCTCTGTCCTTGCTTCTTGGCAGATAAAGAAGAGGAGCCACTTAAGGACAGTCTCCCACAATTTTAGTATTGGTCAGAAATGTGAATCTACACTTGCTTTTCAGCCAAAACTTTACTTCCTTTTCAAATTTTTTGTTTTTAGGTCACAGGTGTGACATCAACGTGTCTACTGAAGCCATGTATGCTGCAACCAGGCGGGAAGGATTTAATGATGTGGTGAGAGGAAGAATTCTCTCAGGAAATTTTTTCTTATTAAAAGAGTAAGTAGTGGGGTGCCTGGGTGGCTCAGTCGGTTAAGCGTCTGCCTTTGGCTCAGATGATGATCCCGGGGTCCTGGGATGGAGCCCTGCATCGGGCTCCCTGCTCGGCGGGAAGCCTGCTTTTCCCTCTCCCACTCCCCCTGCTTGTGCTCTCGCTCTCTCTCAAGTAAATAAATGCAATCTTAAAAAAATAAATAAAAAAATAAAAGAGTAAGTAATTAGGAATTTTCTCCATTCTTGAACACTCAAGAGTACATTAGTAGCATGTCTACCAGGTCTTATAAGTTGAGATATTTGCTAAAGAAGCAAAATCCTTATGATTTGAATTAGAAATTATAATTAAAGGCCTATTTATAGTACATTTAGTTTCTGGTTATTCAAATGCAAAAAAACATTCACACTCTAGCTAAATGATTAGTACAAAACTAAGTAGGAAGCCCTGAAGAATTTTAACCTCATTAAATGTCCCCTATTTTTGCCATGTTGGCTTATTGTTGTTAGAGACTTAAGCAGGAAATTACATTGGTGTATCTTGAAAAATTTAGCAAATTAACTTAGTCTTCCCCTACATTATGTATCTGTTTGCTCCAAGAAAGAATTCTAAATTACTAGGGCTCCTACTTAGATTGTCTTCAATATAAATTTATTCATCTTGCGAATAGGATTCATCTTGCATACCACCAAGTCTGTCTAAGAGGACAGGAGAAGTGTGAAAAGGCAAGAATGATTGTTGTAATGAAAAACTCCTGCAGTTTTTCTACATTCCCTCAAGGACAGAAAGCATTTTGCTCATCTGTGTATCCCTTCAGGGCAGATATTTAGGATTACTTTTTCCAAAAATATTATTTGAACAACCATGATGAAAAACAGCATGGAGGTTCCTCAAAAAATTAAAAATAGAACTACCATATATGATCCAGCAATCCTACTTCTGAGTATATATCCAAAGGAAATGAAATCATTATCTCAGAGCATTATTCACAATAGCTAAGACATGAAAACAACCTAAGTATCCAATGGTGGTTGCATGAGTCTGTGGGCTAGGGGAAATAGGGAGATATTGGTCAAAGGGTACAAACTTGTAGTGATAAGATGAATAAGTTCTGGGGGTGCCTGGGTGGCTCAGTCAGTTAAGCATCTGCCTTCAGCTCAGGTCATGATCTCAGAGGCCTGGGATTGAGCCCCACAGAGCCTGCTTCTCCCTCTGCCCCTCACTCCACTCATGTTCTCTCTCTCCCTCTCTCAAATAAATAAATAAAATCTTAAAAAAAAAAAAAGATGAATAAGTTCAGGGGATATAATATACAGCATAGTTACTATAATTAACAGTACTGTGTTATATACTTGAAAATGGCTAAGAGAGTACATCTTAAATGTTCTCACCACACACACACACACACACACAATTGTAATTATATAAGGTGACAAATGTGTTAATTAACCCTATTGTGGTAATCATCTCACAATATATACATCTATCCAATTATATTGTACACCTTAAAATTACACAATTTTATATGTCAATTGTATTTTGGTAAAGCTTGAAAACAAAAAGCCTAAAAATACTTGATTATGTTCCATAGTAAAACTCTTTTCCTGCAAACAAAACTGATATTTACCTCATACCTGTGAGAATTGCTAAAATCAAAAACACAAGAAACAACAGGTTGGTGAGGATGTGGACAAAAAGAAACCCTCCTGCACTGTTGGAATGCAAACTGGTGCAGCCACTGTGGAAAACAGTATGGAGGTTCCTCAAAAAGTTAAAAATAGGACTATCCAGGGGCGCCTGGGTGGCTCAGTCAGTTAAGCGTCTGCCTTCAGCTCAGGTCATGATCCCAGGGTCCTGGGATCGAGCCCCGCATCGGGCTCCCTACTCCACGGGAAGCCTGCTTCTCCCTCTCCCGCTCCCCTTGCTTGTGTTCCCTCTCTCGCTGTGTCTCTCTCTGTCAAATAAATAAATAAAATCTTAAAAAAAAAAATAGGACTATCCAGCAGTCACACTACTGGGTATTTACCCAAAGAATACAAAAACACTAATTCAAAAGGATACATGCATCCCTATATTTGTAGCAGCGTTATTTACAGTAGCCAAGATATGGAAGCAGCTCAAGGGTCCATCAATTGATGAATGGATAAGGAAGATGTGGTGTATATATACACAATGGAATATTATTCAGCCATAAAAAAGAATGAAATCTTGCCACTTGCAATGACATGAATGGAGCTAGAGAGTATTATGCTGTGTGAAAGAAGTCAGTCAGAGAAAGACAAATACCATATGATTTCACTTGTGGAATTTAAGAAACAAAACAAATGAGCAAGGGGTGGGGTAGGGGGAGAGAGAGGCAAACCAAGAAACAGGCTCTTAACTATAGAGAACAAACTGATAGTTACCAGAGAGGAGGTAGTTGGGGGGATGGGTTAAATAGGTGATGGGGATTAAGGAGTGCACTTATGATGAGCCCCTGAGCACCGGGTGATGTATGGAATTGTTGAATCACTATATTGTACACTGTATGGTAATTAACTGGAATTAAAATAAAAAGTTTAAAAAAATAAAAGACTCTTCTATTTTGACCAGATGATTGTAATGATTTTCGGGTAGGAAAAGAAAATGGAATGTTGCTGAGAGGTTTTCTAAGCAAAGACTTTCATTAAGTGGAAAATGTTGCATTTGCCAAATATAACTGATCAGAATCAAATTGTGTATCTCAGGGCACAAGTTGATAGACTATCTAGGTCACTGTAACAGCATATAAAGAAACTGAAGGAGAGGAGTCCGAAAGCTTCTCTATGGTCACTGGTTGGGGGTATTGACAAAAGGAAGTGAGAATTCCTGCTGGCCTCCCTATCTCTGAGTCAGAGAACTTAAGTCAGCTTTTTTGTTTTGAGGGGTTCTGTTTGCTTGTTCATTTGTTTTGTGAGGGGAGGACAGACATGAGTGATAGGAAAAATGGAATTTGGGTATACTTTTTTTTTTTAGTCTTAAAAGTCAATTTATGTGCCAGGAACTATAACAACTCCTAACATTTTTTTTTTTCTTCATGTGGTACCTCAGTTTACGATTTTGTCATTCTTCTACTACCTTTTGTTCAAAAAACACAAATTAATTGAATTAGGAATCCACAGTTTATTTTTAATGAACATAATTATTTACATTTGAGCCACATTTAAATCTGATTTTTACTGTTTGTCTTCAATTTGTCCTATCTGTTCTTTCTTTTAACCTCTTTTCGTGCCGCCTTTTATTTTTTCTTTAAATAATAACTTTTCTCTTAAAGAGATTTAAAACAAGAAAAAAAGTCATTTGTATTTGTCCAGATATTTGCTATTTCTGGTGCTTTTTATTCCTTTGTATAGATCCAAATATCCATCTGGTATAATTTTCTTTCTCCCTAAAGAACTTTAATATTTCTTGAGTACAATCCTGCTGGCAATGAATTCTTTCAGCTTTTGTTTATATGTAAAAGTCTTTATTTTACCTTTAATTTTGATATTTTCTCTGGGTATCAAATTCTAGATTGATGGTTTTTTTCCAATGCCTTAAAGATCTTGTTCTGTTGCCTCCTGACTTGCATAGTTTCTGAGAAGTCTATTGTCATTCTTGTCTTTGTTCCTCTGTGTATAACATGTCTTCCCACCCCCCCCGCCACCCCCAGCTGATTTTAAGACTTTATCATTGGTTTTCAGGAATTTGACTGTGATGTGTCTTGGTGTGGTTTTCTGCATATTTCTTCTTGCTTAGGGGTTTGTTGAGCTTCTTGGATCTGTGGGTTTATCATTTTAATCATATTGCCTAAAGTAGAGTTAAATTAGCCAAGATGAAAGGCCATTTTAGACTCATCCTTGCAAAGCTTTTTAAGAGGGAAGCCTTGTAAGGATCCAACAGATTCTAAGTAACTTAATTGCATCCCAGAACAAACCCCAGTACCGTTTAAAGGAATGCAACAAAAATGCAGCAAATGACAATGTAAAAGTTGCCATGCCCATTTTAATCAAATTTGGAAAAGTTTTGGCCACTGTTTCTTAAAATATTTTTTCTGACCTCCCACTTCTGGGACTCCATTCATATGTACGTTAATCTGCTTGATGTCCCACAGCGCACTGATGGCTCCATCCTGGTGTTTGTTTTTTGTTTTGTTTTTTTTTCCTTCTTTAGTCTTTTTCTCTGCGCTTCCTTTTGGATAGTTTCTGTTACTATCTTCAGAATCACTGATCTGCTGTGTCACCTGCTGTCATTCGCATCCAGTGTCATTTTTATTTCCTATTTTGTATTTTTCATTCCTAGAACTTCCAAGTAGGTCTCTTCAATTTCTTCATGATACCATGTTTTCTTCTACTTTCTTGAACATATGGAACATATTTACAGGAGTAAATACATGTTTTAATGTTCTTATCTGCTAATTCCCACATTTCTGTTGTTTCTGGATCTCTTTATATTGATTGCTTTTTACTCCCTAGTTATGGGTTATATTTTCTGCTTTTTTGCATGGCTGGGCTTGACAGCTTTTACATTGTCATTAGCTGCATTTTTGTTGTATTCCTTTAAATGGTGCTGGGCTTTGTTCTGGGATGCAGTTAAGTTACTTAGAATCTGTTGGATCCTTTCGAGGCTTCCTTTTTATTTTATTTTTTTAGGATTTTATTTATTTATTTGACAGAGAGAGAGCACAAGCAGAAGGAGAAGCAGGCTCCCCGCTGAGCAAGGAGCCCGATGTGGGGCTTGATCCCGACTGAACCACCCAGGCACCCCCCAAGGCTTCCTTTTTAAAAAGCTTTGCAAGGATGAGTCTAAAATGGCCATTCATCTAGGCTAATTTAACTCTACTTTAGGCAATACCCTTGAAGAATTCTGCCGGATGCCTCATGTATTATGAAGACTCCCGCTTTGGCCGTTAGGAACACACACTATTTCTAGCCCTGTATCAGCTCTTGCAGTTGTTTGACTTTTCAGTGATTCTTTCCCCAGCCTTGAGAATGTCTTCTCCCTATGTGCACACGTCAGTACTCAGCCAAAGACTTGAGGGATCACTCTGCAGATCTCTTGAGCTCTCTCTGTGTGCTATTTTCTCCTCTCCAGTACTCGGCAAGCAAATTCCAGGTGTCTTTGCCTCCCTGCACTTCCAGTCCCTGTCTCTAACTTCCTGAAAACTCTGTTTAGTTTCCTCCTGTCTGGGCTGAGGCCTGGAAACTGCCTCCAGGCATTACACTGGGGAAATTAAAGGGCTCACTTACTTCCTTCCCTTCTCTCAGAACTCTCTCTCTTGAATGCCTGTTGTAATATCTGAAAATAGTTGCTTTATTTTGCCTAGCTTTCTGGGCAAAATAAAGCAGGGAAAATTAGTATGGGTAAATACTAGGGTATGTTACTATTTACTATAGCAGGGTAAATTCCATCCCTCTATCATTAATGGAAGCAAAAGTTGTGTTTTTGAACCATATTTAAAGTAGGAAGAAATTTAATAGAAAATAAATTTTTGCTTGTGTTTGAATAAAATTGAGGTTTGGGAAATGCTGTTAATGGCATTATTTAAGCCATCAAGTGTTATTGTATAAATTATAGGTGATACCTGCATTTCTCTCTGTCGACCCTGTGGTCAAATGATAGTAAAGATATTTGATATTCCTATAGAATTCTTTTAGAGTAAAAAAAAAGATAGCACATTTTTATCTTTATTATATTTGGTCCTCAGTAAGACTGGAGTAGTTACATCCATTTTTACAGGTGAGGAAACTGAAGTTTAAAACAGTACTTTTGCCAGCCTTTGTATGCACTTCAGGAGGATCTAAAGAGTGACTTTTTCCCTTTCTTTGCATCATTGACTTGCAATCACTTTTATAAGTGGCTAATTCCTTAATCTCTTCAGTAAAGTAAGCCTCTTTCTTTGAATTTCACATTTCCATTCTTGGGGTATGCCTTTCCATAAAATATAAAATTGCAAACACTGTATACTTTCTCCAGTTTCTGTTTCCAGAGCCTGTTTCCTAGTGTCTAATTATGATGGCATATTAGAATTTTGCAAAACTTCAGAATCCTTATAATAATGAGTTATCATTATATTACAGATGAAGTAAGACATTATAATAGAAGAAGGATTAGAATAAGCCTCCAAAGACCTAAGTTCTAGTCTTCCCTTTACCACTGCCCGTCTTTGTAACCTTTGGAAAGTCATTTAATTACTATGCACTTGATTTTTTTTCACCTGAAAATAAATGTTCTGGTTTAATGATATCCCTGGATGTGGATGATACCCACTTATTTAATGATATCACTATTTTGTGATTACATGTGTAGAATTGTATCTAGCAGTGAATTTTGATTAAACTCCTGATACACAAATTTTTAGAAATAACAGCACAGTTGAACAAGAATCATTTATATGTGTTGTTAGGAATCTTAGTGCTGCCTGCTTATAAAGGTCAAGAATCCAGTCATTCTTTCACAAGCCTTGCGTGTGAAAATTGATTCAAAGAAATTAAAAAATCCTTAAAATATCATCTGTTTTTCCACAGAAACTATGAGAATTATTTCATTAAGGCACAGAAAGTGAGACGACTCATTGCTAATGATTTTGTGAATGTTTTTAACTCCGGAGTGGATGTCTTGCTGACTCCCACCACCTTGAGTGAGGCGGTACCATACCTGGAGTTCATTAAAGAAGACAACAGGACACGAAGCGCCCAGGATGATATTTTTACACAGGCTGTAAATATGGCAGGTGAGGATCCCTTGGGAATGTTCTGAATTTCTTCAAATTTTTAGATAGGCACCCTGGTCTTCAACTTAGGTTCTAGCTAGATTGTTCCCTGAAGGCAACAGCTTGTCCTTCTGGAATGCTTAGGAATGTGTGTACGTGTGTGTGTGTGTGGTATGTGCACATGCTTAGGCATGCGTGCACTTGCAGTCACCATGCACATGCATACTCAGAGTCATTCTACTAATAACATAATTTTAACTTTTATTTTGGAAATTTTCAAACCTACCGAAAAGTTGAAAGAATGGTATAATGAATACCAATACACATTTGCCTGGATTCATTCATTATGCCTAATCTGCTTTCTCCTTTCTCTCTTTCTGTCTGTATACACACACACGCGCGCGCACACACACACACACTTTTTTTAGCTGAATAATTTGAAAGTTTCAACATCGTGATACTTCACCCCTAAATACTTTAGCATAAATCTTCTAAAAATGATGACATTCTCCCACATAACCACAATTCTGTTATCACACCTAGGAAAACTAACATAAATATAATAATATTCCAAATATAGTCCATACTTAAATTTTCTCAATTTTACCAAAAATGTCTTTTATAAAATTGTTTTTCCCCATAGATATATTACATTTGTTTATGATCTTTTTAAAATTTAGAACAATATCTCAGTTTTCTGCTTTAGGTTCTTGGTTTTTGTTTTTTTGGAACATATCAGACTTTTATAATTTGTGTTTCAATCATCAAACAAAATGTAGAAAACTCAAGAGGGGAAGGAAAGCCTGTTGTATTTCCCCGTACTTTTGTTTACTATGTTCATTTCTTCCTGGTATATGAAGATTCTTTGTTTTATCATATCCTTTCTGTTTAAATTCCTTTAGCAATTCTTTTAGGGTAGGTCAGCTGTTAACCAATTCTTTTAACTTTCTAAGAATGCTTGATTTCCTTTCATGTTTAAGGGTTATGTTCACTGGATACAAGATTTGTGCTTGACATTTCTTTTCTCTAGCGCTTAAAAAATGTTATGCCACTTTCTTCTGGCCTGCATAGTTTCTGATTAGAAATCCCCCACCTTTTAAAATTTTTGTTTTAATTGACATTGACTTTTTTGAAGAGCCTAGTGCACTTGCCCTAGAGGGTGTCCCATCCATAATCTGGATTTCTTAGATTGCTTCCTTATGATTGGGTTGGGTCAAACATTTTGGCAGAAATACTACATGGTCTTCATGTCAGGAAACAGTTAATGTCAGTTTGTTCCACTTTCAGAGACTAAGTTGATTCCTTAGCTAAGGAAGTAAGTGCCAGGTGTCTTCCGTGTAAAAGTATATTTTTCCTTTTATCAATTATAACCAATTGGTGAGGTGATACTTTGAGATTGTGTGAATATCCTATTCCCCAAAAATCTTGAACGCAGTTTATGTCTATTGATGATCCTTGGCCTGAATTATTTCCTGGAGAATTACAAAATGCTGATTTTTCTGTCATTCTTTCTACATATATTAGCTAGCAGTCTTCTTTAAAGACAGCTTTGCTTTTTTAAAAACTCAGTGTATTATAAACAATTACTGTCATTATTGGTTTTGATGCTCAAATTGGCCAGCAAGAGCCCTTTCAAGTTACATGTAACCTTTAGACCTATCCCCATTAATTTCTAAAAACTTACTTACTTTATGGCATAACAAGATATCCCAGGATCTTGTGCTTTCTTTGCCCCAAACCTAGAATTAAAACTGAGTTACTATTTCTTATCTATCAAATTGGCAAGCATTCAAAACCTCAGCAATATATTCAGATGGTAATGCTGTAGTGAAAAAGCATTTTGCTGATGGGAGTTCAAAATAGTACAACTTTTTTGGAGAGGAATTTGGCAAATATCTAGTTACATATGCATTTATCTTTTGATGAAGCAATCTGTATTCATCTGAGAGACTTTCAAAAATACCAAAAAACATGGGGCACCTGGGTGGCTCAGTCAGTTAAGCATCCGACTCCTGATTTTGGCTCAGGTCATGATCTCGGGTGGTGTGATTGAGCCCTGCATCATTGGGCTCCACGCTCAGTGGGGAGTCTGCTTGAGATTTTCTCCCTCTTCCCCTCCCCCTGCTCTCTCTCTCTCTCTCTCAAATAAATAAATAAATCTTAAAAAAAAAAAAGAATACCAAAAAACATGTACACAAGGTAATTCACCCAAGCATGGTGTGAAATAGCTCAATACTGAAAACTACCTAAATGCCCAACACCCAACCATAGAAGAATGGGTGAACAAATTATGGTACAAACCACATAATGGAGTGCTATGCAGCTATAAAAAAGGAATGAAGAAAGTCTCTGTGAGTTGATACACAGTGATTTCCAAGATATATTGTTAAGTGAGCAAAGGAAGGTACAAAAGCATGCTTATCGTATGTTTTTTGTCATTTTTTAAACCTTATCTGTCTTGTACCTACTAGCACTGGAAAGCAGAATAAGTCTCCCCTGCTTAGGATGGAAAATTAATCAGCTAATAGGGTTTCTTTCTTGTCTTCAGGATTGCCAGCAGTGAGTGTCCCTGTAGCCCTCTCAAACCAAGGTTTGCCAATAGGACTTCAGTTTATTGGACGTGCATTTTGTGACCAGCAGCTTCTTAAAATTGCCAAGTGGTTTGAAAAACAAGTACAGTTTCCTGTTATTCAACTTCAAGAACTAATGGATGATTGTTCATCAGACTTTGAAATTGAAAAGTTGTCTTCTGTTTTTCTGAAACAGTAGTGATAAATATAGCATGCAAATTAAAATAACTTGAAGATTTTATATTCAAGAGAAGTCGGATGATCTTGCTAAAGGCCTGTAATTTGGTTCATTGTCAACACAATCATTCCTCAGAATCACTTTTTAAAAACTCCTGTGATACAGTTAATTATAAGTCATCTGTCAGCATTTATGAAGTATCCACTAAGTATAGAGTACAGGATTTTTACATTAACACAGACACATGTTCCTGGAAAATGATGCATTCTGCAAAAATGTTCATTAATAAGAGCTTAGAGTAAAGGTAAACAGGGATAAGCCTCTCAGAAGTTGTACATCTTTGTAACCAAAGTGCTAATAAAAGCTATAATTTGTACCTCCAGAGAGAACCTCAACAGCCACGCAGATAGGCAATTCACACGTAGTGGAGGCTGCCTCGGGGGATGTTAAAAATGCACAAAAACAATAAAATGGGAATATTTGCTTCTGAGTGCTGAACAAAGGAGGTAGAAGAGGAGCTCTGAGCACTGGAGGAAGTGCAACCTGTTGGGGCCCAGAGTCATTCAAGACTGGGGGTATGCCTCTCTGGGGAAGAGCCCAGGTGCAGACGCTCTTGATTTTTCTAAAAATAGAGCTGCAATGACTGAAAACTTTCTCCTGTTTTGCTAAAGGTGAAAATTTGACTTCTGCCATCCCAGAACCCCATGCAAACGAACCAGAACAACTCCATGTGACTTCATTTTCCTATTTACCAATCACAAATGAACTCGCTGGTATCATAGAAACATTTGTTGTAACCTAAGAGACCATATTGGACTTGAAACTTGGGAGGCAGTGGAGCATGATTTTAGTGAGAAAGTTTCAAGATACAAGTATATTCAAATGAAAAACTGGTAGGTAATTTGGTGAGGATGCCAAAGATAGGAGGCCCATAGCCTCCTCCCTTACCCCAGATTCTCTATTCCTTATGGTTTCCTTACCCCCTTAGCTTTCTTTACAAGTGCTCTCTGTTTGTGTCCCTTGAGCCCAAAGAGACATTAATACGAATCTGTATTCAATTTGAAAGAAAATTTTACGAAAATCATAAATTTACCTAACACTCTAAAGTTTCATCATTGGATTTGTCTTTGCCAGAATACCAGTGTCATCTCATGTTGATCAGGTTCTAATTTGGCACTTACATGTTACCAATAAGAATATGGAAGCTGAATTACTATTTAATACATTCACTTTGTTTAGTAAGGAAACAGTCTTTTCTAAATATGAAGTACCTGAGGGAAAAAATCTAAGTGGCAGAACCTTCTGCAGAGCCACTGGAATGTTGCATGGTAGGAAGTTAGCCTGCCTGTTACTTTCTCATTAATAGTTTTCTCTCCTCCCAGGATCCTTCCACTCCCAAATGGTCTGACAAGCTTTATATAAAATCTTTCTGTGCTAGGCCCACTAGTTTTCTTATAAATCATGACTCTGAATCTGTGAATGAGGAAGAAATTCACAAGAGAGAATTGCATTTTTTTTTTATGACAAGGGAAAACCATCTTCACTGAAGGAGCTAATATGATGTAAAAAGCAAAGAATAAATCTTTGCCCCAGTCTTTTTTTAATGTGTGCATAATTTGAAGTGAATTTTTTTCAAAGAATATTTGTCATTTCTCTTATTCCTGTATCTCTGCTTGAGCTGCACTGATGATTTGAATCTGGAAATAGGGAAGTGAAACATTGACTGTTCTCGCATAATACCCAACTAGCATGAAATAATACCTAATTTGTTTCTCTTTCTTCTCCGTCTTTACCCTAAGTCTAGTAGATCTCATTTTACCAAATCATTGTCTGGGAATTTAAGTGGGAAATGGTTTCTGTACCTCTGCTAATTAAGTCCTGAAACTGTTAGCAATTCTGAAAGGCGAAGGTGGGTGAAAGTGTAACATGAGTTCCCTGATAAGACACAGCAAAACAAAAAGAAGTTAGATTCAACCACAAAAGCATCAGTAGAGTGAAAGAATGTGATGAGATCACAAAACCTGGCACCCCAACACCACCTAGAGCCCAGGGAGCAAGTGGGAAAGTCAGTGTTCCGTGTTGGCCCCCAGCGTTACCAAGAAAATCGATTGAAACCAGGGAGGCAGAATGTTCTCTTTGGCTCTTTGCTACCAGGTCATCAGGAACACAGAGGACCTTGAGCTGGCTAGAAAAGACAGCCTGGTACCAAAAAGGAGCTTAAAAATGACAAGGAACAGTGACTCCTATTAGGAAATCACCTCTACCTTCTAACGTAGACATGAAATACCTTTAGGATTTTATTTTTTATGTATTTATTTTTAAAGATTTTATCCATTTATTTGAGAGAGAATGAGCAAGAAAGAGCCAGCATGAGCGATGGGGAGGCGCAGAGGGAAAAAAAGCAGACTCCCCACTGAGCAGGAAGCCCGACACAGAGCTTGATCCCAGGACCCCAGGATCACAACCTGAGCCGAAGGCAGACACCCAACCAACTGAGCCACCCAGGTGGCTCCCTTTAGGATTTTAGACTGAAGGACTGTGAAGAGAACCGTTACAGGGCACCAGCAGGTAGAGCTCAGGGATGCTGCAAACTGTGTCATACCCTGCTCCAGTCAAGGAAATGGAACAAGCTAATGGAATTTTCACAATAGCTTCTGTTGAGAGAAGATCAACAGTTAAGATCAAGTAGTTAATGTTTGATCTCCCTTTCCTCAAGCATCTGATTATCTATACCAAGGTTAAATGTTCATTGACTGTGCAAGCCTGGGGTAAGATGTGTTCTGGAAGCACCAGAGGACAGTTTAGAGTAGAAGGTCTTGCTCAGTTATTTTGTGACTTAAGCAGTGTGTACTCTAGAACATAAACCTGAAGTATTAATAAAGGCAAATAATATGAGAAAAACCCAGCCAACATTAAATAAAATTATTAGAGGATTCAGAGGTGTTTTTTTTTTCGTTTCTTTTTCTTTACACCTCAATGGAATATAAATCCAGAAGGATTTTAGGCAATTTATTAAAAACATATTATTATGATGGTATAAAAGTAAATAGTTGAGGAAATCAGTAAAGTGATAAAAGGACAAAAGGCTTCTCAAGGTATTTATGTAGATACTTAAACCTGTGTAGTATGACACAGTGGGAAATTTTCCAGTAGCTTACCTAGTGAGTAAGGCCACCAGATTTAAAAATCAAATAAACTTGGGTTTGAGCCCTATTATTGCCATTTACAAGCTGTGTAACCTGTCCGAGCTTCAGTATCCTGACTGAATAAAGAGATAATATTTACTCCAAGGGATGGTTGGGAGGATTAAATTTAAATGATGCACTGAAAGCACCTAGCATGATGCCTGCTAGACCAAGCACTTAATAATTTGTAGCTGTAAGTAAATGCATACAATTATAAACTTAAGTCATTTTCCTATACAGTTGACCCTTGAACAACACAGGTTTGAACTGCATGGGTTCACTTACATGTGAATTTTTTTATAAGTACAGTACTGTAAATGTATTTTCTCTTCCTTATGGTTTTCTTAATAAAATTTTCACTAGCTTACTTTATTGTTAAGAATACAGTATATAATGCATATAGCTGCCCAATGCTCTGGCTCCCCCTGAGGATAAAGTTTAAAATATCAGAAAGAACTGATGGGCTGCCTATTTCTAAAGCAATTTCCATGAGCTTTTTTTTTTTTTTTATAAAGAATTGGATAACACAGCGTTCAAAGACCTGAAGGTCTTCCAAAGGCCAATCAAATGAAGAGCAAAACCAACATGCTCTTTTAAGAATGAAGCCTCCCAACTTCCCTAATTTGGGGAAGGAAACAGGCATCAAAGTCCAGGAGGCACAGAAAACCCCCCTCAAAATCAATAAAAATAGGTCAACACCCCAACATCTAATAGTAAAACTTACAAGTCTCAGAAACAAAGAGAAAATCCTGAAAGCAGCTCGGGACAAGAGGTCTAACCTACAACAGTAGAAACATTAGATTGGCAGCAGACATATCCACAGAGACCTGGCAGGCCAGAAAGGACTGGCATGATATATTCAGGGCACTAAACGAGAAAAATAATGATACCCAGGTAGGCTGTCATTGAAAATAGAAGGAGAGATAAAAAGCTTCCAGGACAAACAAAAACTAAAAGAATTTGAAAAACACCAAACAAGCCCTATAAGAAATATTGAAGGGGGTCCTCTAAGCAAAGAGAGAGCCTAAAAGTAACATAGACCTGAAAGGAACAGAGACAATACACAGTAACAGTCACCTGACAGGCAATACAATGGTACTAAATTCTTATCTTTCAATAGTTACCCTGAATGTAAATGGGCTAAATGCCCCAATCATAAGACACAGGGTATCAGATTGGTTAAAAAAAAAACAGGACCCACTGATATGCTGTCTGCAAGAGCCTCATTTTAGACCCAAAGACACCTCCAGATTTAAAGTTGGGGGGGGTAGAAAACCATTTACCATGCTAATGGACACCAAAAGAAAGCTGGGGTGGCAATCCTTATATCAGACAAATTAGATTTTAAGCC